ACGCTCTTCACATAAGCACCATTTAGCGCATTCGGTTTTTTATCACCTACTTCGTAGACGCTCTTAACCGGCAACAATAGTCCGACATAGCAAAAGTGGATCCGTTGTCGTGTTTACCACAGATCGCTTACTGGTAGCTTGAATGTCCTGGAAAGTTTGATTTACTCTAGTATTCAACCCGAAATGCGATCTGTTACATTTTTAATGTGTATAAACCACAATTACCGTATGATTATATCGTCGTCATAGGTTACTCATGGATAGACAGCTAGCATGTGTGTTTTGGGTGAGTGCAGAGAGTCCGATAGCCGAGTGTTTGTCAAACATTTGACAACCATACGTAACCATATGTAACTACATTTTGCTTGTCGGAGGGTTTTCACCATGAACTGGAAAACAGAATTCAGACAAAGGATTAGTGTATCATTCACACATTACGGCGTATCGCTGATTACGGAATAATTGCATGCTGTGGCAAGCGGATCACAAACACGAAGAAAACATCAACACTCCACGAAATGTTCATTCGTTGCACAAGACGTTTGTAGATATGAGGTCGGGTGACCGATAAGCCAGTTCTGAGTGAATAGCTTTCCGCGCTTACTATGGCGTACGTTGGTTACAGGCTGACTCGCTAAACAGAGGGTAAATCTGGCATGACGCTTTTCCTCAATGCTTCTCTATAAAACAGTCCTGGAGGAACTACCATGCTCCTATATTAAGGAGCGAATTCCGTAAAATGGACGTTAATATATAAGGCTATGTGAAACATCAAAATAACTATCCGGTGGACCAAACAAAATTAACAAAATTAACAAGTAGGTGGTCCAGTTTTCTTGCAAATTCATCAGGATATATTCAATGGCATTTGTTCAATTAGTGGTAAACCATAGAGCCGAATTTCAGGGATAAACACCAAATGCTGCTTTAGCCGTGTCTATGTTCAAGAGTTGTGGCTACTTCCCTCCTACTTTCTGACTGCATTCAATACTTTGCAGAGTAAATGATTTTTTAGTGTAATGAATATTAAGTTGGCTGTGAAATTTACCGATTTTGAGTGAAATTGTAGGTTGGCATCTTTGGATGAATCACTTACACATATCATGCTGCCTAGTTTTGTATGACCACGAGAAAGCTAGGGCTTCACCTGTGTTCATTGTGTTGATGACACCGTGGGAGTGACGACTTCAGTGTCTGCAAATAAAAAGACGTTGTCGATGCGCACGAAAGAAGACTAGCTGGAACTACGTTCTTTCTTTATTGTTTTCGTAGGTTCCTTGAAGTCGGGTAACCGGATAAGTCTCAAGGTTTCCCATAATGTCCAACAGATTATGAATGTTGGTCAGTTGAATGAATGACTAATATCTCCTCACCAGTGCATCTATTATACACGCGCAGATCACAATCCATCTTCCTTTTTCAAAGCTTGCTGATACAGGGTAGTTGGGAATCCCAGACATGTGCACTAGGAAGATATGCTTCATTTGTCAATGTTACCTGCTATATCGATTAATGATCATGTGGTTGGTTTTCCATCATCTGCTCGGGATGTCCAGTATAACATACCTGATAGTCTCAATCCAACAATAAAAACATTATCCTTCGGAATTTATGTAGGAAATTTTGTTATCCCGTGTGCTCAGCATCCCGGTGGATCAGTGGCAACAAATGAAGGTTGCTTATACTTTGAGGAGTTTGAGATTTTCCGCAGTGATATTGAAGTATGCATGTTCTGCTGGTCTACCATCATATCAGAAACTCAGGAATCAAAGTTTTTGCATAAATAATTTGGGCACATTCTGACAAACCGTACACTGAAAAATCTTGATCGTTTTTGTTATTAATTATCTCTATTTTTCGTTCTCAGTGGCGCATATTCATCCTTGTTGATATCCATTTAGTCTCAGCTTCTCGCTCAACTGATGACAGCGCATACGGACAACAAATAATGGACACATGCCACCCTGGTAGAACAGAACGATGAAGACAAGGAGATCAATCACCATTTGCATCTTACTGACGATCTTATAAAACCATTGTGTTCCCTGTCAAAAAACAATGGCAAACCATGGTAACCAAGCTTCTTGACACATGTTAGCATGAGAAAAACAAATTCACTCCCTGAACGGGTGATACATTCGTGGGGGGATTATTAACCACTTACTCAATACCACTCGTACAAAGCCTCCGGTTTTCATGTTCCGACGGAAGGATTTCCATGAACGCATAGACGCCGCGATGTTATTGTGTTTCCGAAAGATACATGCCTTTCTGGTTCACTTTTGGGCGTCACTCCACTAGGTTATTCTGTCCATGACCGTTTCGTAATTAATTAAATGAATATAGGTAAGGGTCACGGGAGATAAATTATGCCGCATCCAGTCAAACACACAAGCGAAAAACGCCAGTCAAATAAAGTGCCTCTGATCCATGTTTCCGAGATCGTAAGAATTAAATGTTTTATATATTCTACCCCATGAATCTAGAGGTATTGTTTTAAGTTCAAAACTCTACGGGTAAATTAAGATGACTGCTTTATCAGGACTATGCTCGCCTTCCAGGCGCTGGGGAAACTGTTCAAAACTCCAAACCGTCCAGCAAAGCTCATTGGGGGTCTAGGCTGGCCTACTGATTAGATCACTACTCGCCATCTAGGTGTGGTTGAATATCTTTGTGATCGGCTACCAAAAGAATAAAAACTAGGGATTAACTGCTTTTGAAAAAGTTGTGAGGTAATTTTCGCTAATGATCTCGTTAACCTAAAATGGAGATTCAGTTTTTCTCCACAAAAACGACAAAGCTTTTTAGGGGTGGTATTGTTGGCTCAGTGTCAGCCACAGACTGTGCATTGTGAATTCCGGTTTCCTATTTATCAACCAGATCGCACTTAGCCTGGATGTTTAATTTAGATAAAATTAAACCAAGGAAGTAGGAAAATGTTTCGGAGGGAAGTGGCCGCAACAGACGTTTACGTTGTAATGTCCATTTTTGGGGCACCCCTGAACAAAGCGGACCTGAGTGAAAAAACACATAGTTTGAAGCAACAGCATTTCCCTGCTTTCAGTGGTTTCCCAAAGACGATCACACAGTTTGTTTCATCTGTTAACCTTCTGTTGCCTAGTGGTACAGGCCACACTATCTGATCTTCAAAAATCACCTACTTCCTCGAATAACCCACTGGTAAATTACTGCATCATTTATGACATACCGTAAAACAGATGGGACACCCTTCGACAAACAAAGAAAAATCAAGGAATAGAAAAGGATAAAAGTGAAATCTCGAGAAATGCGGACAAACTGTTCACACTCCTGAGTGCAAATACGCATGTGGCAATCAACACTCGTTTGAAAAATGGGTTGGTTCTGACAGGCATGAAGGTCCAATTGCGCCCATCTTTCATATTGTTCAGCTAAACGTTCGTACGTTTTATTATGAAAGATGTTCTTGCCAAAAGAAGTCAAAAAGTGGTAGAAACTTTTCAGGGGCTTCACCGACCCTAATTTGACACACTTAATATCTCATTGACTGAAACGGAGGAACACGAACCAAATTTGGCTTTTGCCGCAGACAGACAAGGACGGTCACATAGAAATTACTAGAGCCAAAACTGAGTCGTTCGGTCAACAAAATTCTGCAATACTTACTACAGATTTGGATCTTAACGTAGCTACGGACGGTCCAGAAACAATTTTCTATTTAATTATCCTCTTATTTTAGATTAAACGTTGGTGCACATAACCAATACTAAATTTTTTATTGTAGTTCTTCCGTCACTCTCTGCTTTATCATTGCTGAAAACTCAGCTTCTGTGGGTGGCATTTTTGTGTGCCCTGCACTATGACATTGACGACCTTGTAGTAGTCCACTTGTGATGTTTTCCATGGAGAAACTTTAAAGTCACAAACCCGCAAAATTCAGCGTAACTTGATTCGCGATTATTAAAAATCAAACTGGATAAAAAATTAGTAAACAAAGATTGTAGATCTCCCGAAAAAAAGACAAACACTGTTTGCGTTAATAGCGGCAAGTTAAGCTTACTTGTGCTTGCCATTCTGAACCGAACTCTCCTGTCTCCTTGGATATAATTGGCGCGTACTATTCAAGCACAGGGCCACACCTAGTACTTTAACTACAAAAACGCCAGTTAAAACTTCTTCCAGAGGATGCTCTCGTTCCTGCAGTCTGTAAATTTTTTGGAGATAATGAGTAGCGTACATATTTATTGTGATTAATTTAACCTAATAATAACGTCTTTTGTGCGGGGGCTGAAGCAGAACATAGTAGAATTATATAATTTCCCCAAGGTGAATCGTACAAAATAACTTGATCCAATGGTATTATTTAAGACTAACTTTCAATTTTACCATCACTATCAGTTTCTACGACGTTATATCGTAGGATGTGACACGTTTTCTGGAGCAGTGATCTTGGTGTGACAGTCGAATTTCAGATTCACCCCTAAGATAGTCCAGTTTGACACCGAAATTTTCAGAATCAAGGGTATAACTTTCTGCTATTCAAAAGGAATCTTTGTATGCGTAAAAGGCCACACATGTTTTCAGCACGCATTTTTTACCAAAAGGCTTTTTAAAGCTAATCAACAAACCATCAGGCGCTGGTTATTTCTCAGCCCATTTCCGGTTAAAATTCTCCGCAGAACTTAGAGGATGCACCTCGCGATATTCCCTCGAAAAAGATACTATGGTTGTTGTAATCATGTCATATTTTTAGAACCAATTTAATATTTCTCAGGGAAACATCCAGAAATGAAACTTTGAATATCCTAGCCATGTACCGAATTTCAACATATCTGAGTTATACAAAGTAAACTGGATTTTTCCAGTCCAAACGCAATAGGTTGTAGCTTCTTGCTAAAATTAAATTACTATTTCTATTTTGAGGTCTTCCATGAAATTTTGTGAGGATATTTATGTGCTAACGTTTCGATCAGAAGACTTGTTTATTCCCATTTTTATTTAAACCCCCATTCTTATTTCAGGACTTGTATCGTTTTCTATTATGTTTGGACTGATTCTCGGCCAAATGGGAGACAAGGCAATCGTGATGGTTCAGTTTTTCTCCATTCTCAGCGAAGTCATCATGCACATGGTAAAGGCAGTAATGCTGTGAGTTCCGCTTAATATTTGCAGACCCAAATTTCCCGGTTGTATCGGTATGCGCGCTGATGCCGCTAATGTGTAGAAGTCCAATTTCTTCTCAACAAATTTCAAAGGGTTTCCAGAACCATGCAGTGTTTTTTTCTCAGATGGTGGCAACATACATAATGCAATTTTTTCATCATATTCTTCTGTCGAAACTGATGTTAACCATACTGCGTAAATATGTAGACATTTTTATTCTCTAAATTGAACAAATTCACTGCACACATTCCATCTATCAAACGTTTTCCTCCACTAAATTAATGCAAAATGTATAGTCAAAGGCTTGTTTCCTATTCGAAAAACGGTTAACGAACCATTTTTTTCACCTCTAATAGTATCGAACAGTGTAAAGAGCTCTCAGAAATGAGCAGTGGAAACGAAGTAATGACTGTTTGTTAGCTTGATATAGAAGTTCCGGTTGCTTGTTCGCAGTAAATCCGATAAATAATAGCCCCTTATATTACTTGCTGGCAATTTCTTATGTTGGTCCAATAAACTCAATCTTTGTATATTTAAGCTTTTTCTGAGGTAAGTGAACCAAGAGTTAATGTAACGACTGAAGTTCTCGGCCGATCCCCACTAAATTAATTTTGCTTCCTTGAAACTTGATTGGAGTACTGCAATTATGTCCCCCAGCTGCCCGCGGCTTTTCTACCTTCTCCTTAGGCTGACTGAATTATGAAGGAGTACCATTACATCATTTTGGGTTTCGCTTCTGTCCGCCAAACAAAATGGAGTTTCTCATTGACCCTATACGCTAAATGCTCATCAAAAAGGACATCTTATCTCTTTCAAAATATGAGCCATATTGTTTTGATTAGAAGAGTGCAAGCAGTCAGACCATTTTTCTATGCGGTATCTTACTAGAAATAAGATTTATCCTGTCATCAGGAAAAGAAATGAGTTAACTTGCAAGTACCTTTGCATATGGCAATTTATCTAACTCGCCTAAAATAACGTGACCTAGGATTTCAACTGCCAGTTGATCTAAATTGAACTGTCACGATTGTGAATTCAGTTTTATTGTACCCATACTTTATGATCAGCCCAACTGGAATCCCGAAAACTGTACATTGANACTGGAATGCCGAAAACTGTACATTGATAACAAAGTCTTCATATATTTTATTCTTTATCTTCTACAGATACTCTCCATTCGGAATATTCTTCCTTATTCTGGGGAAAGTGCTTGAAATTGAGAACCTAAAGGAGACGGCTACTTCCCTGGGCATGTACATGTTGACAGTCATATCCGGGTTGGCTATTCATTGTTTGGGAACCTTAGCTCTTCTCTACTTTGTGTTTACAAGGAAAAATCCATTTAAGTTCTACAGAGGAGTATTTCAGGTAAGACGCTTCCATCGTTGATTGGTATTTGGGTTGGGCGACATAGCACTAGGTAGATTTACTTCAAAAAGCATCACTTCAGAGAATACAACTACTAAGTTATTCTATGGTATTTTGTGACCCGAATTTAAGCGTTCTCCGAAGATCCTGAAGTGGATATTGCTCGCTTCTTATTTGTTATTTGGGGGCCGCTTATTGACTGTTGCGATTTAAGTACCAGGCAACATATGTATGGATATATATATAAAGCATACAAGGTCGTCCGCTAAAAAGCGATATGTTTAGCGACATTCCTTGCAGTGGATTTCACAATTTGTAAATTTAAAGTCGTACTGGCTTCCTAACTTTTCTTTCATCAGGCATATAAGTATATATTCAACAGAGATTGATCGCTGTCCGTAATATGCCATCAGACGAAGTTTATCTGAGGAATATGGTTTTCGCACATTCTCCAAACCATCCAACATAGCACCTAAATGCAATCTGACTAGTGTATTAATGGAAAGAATCCTAGCTGCGTGCCTCACAGACAACCTTTCCACAAGTTCAAGAAAACAAAAGAAAATGTGTTCATTCGAATATTCAGTTAAGCTTCCAGTCACACAAAGTGCTATATCAGTGGTCAGATTAGTCAGTGTTAGTGAGCAAGTAAACAGCAGTAACTCAACCGGTTTCCTTTTACCAAGCCTCTCAAACGAAAATACCTACCCTATTACAGGAGTTGTAACAGGAACGCACTTTTTCTGACTGTAGTGATGGACCATACAATACTTGTACACCTCGTGCTAACACTTACCCTTAAAGCCCACTCCAAACCCATTGCGAGTAATGTAGAGGCGCGGTACAGATAATGTTCTTTTCCTCGTTCGATATTACCCGGGTGAGTCCATGTATTCAGCAAACTACTTTAGTAATAACCAAAACCCCGTTTTAAACGCACCTGTTTAGGTCGCTGAATGGCGAGTGAACATTCTGTCAAATATAAGAAAAGATAAACTCTGCTTATGCACCCATCTACGCCCCAAGAGTTGCACATCACCAATGTTTAGAGAAGAAAACGTCCACCATCATCACAAATGAAGTAACAATTTTGGATTTAAGGCGCCTTACATTCATTCGGAAGGAAAAGTTATCCGTGCCCATCCGCTGATATTTCGTAAGCTGAACGAACCACATTTGTTTATGTGGTACGAGCTGGACCCATGATTGATAGTCAAACAGCTGTAATGGATTGCCCTTTTATTTTCCCTCCTTAGGCTGAATGCGTGGATGCATTCACTAGTACTTTAAATAAGACAATTAACCCGATTTGCTTCATTTGATTCGCTGCAGTTTGTACTATTCAGTCATCACTGTTACAAGATAACTTCCGCGTCACTTGCAAGCAAACTCTACGATCAGCTTGCTGATGCCACCCAATTATAGTCCCTTAGTAATCCTCGAGGTCACAGTAGTGGTACTCATATCTGTTTTATTGAGTTATGTCTTGTACGATGATTTGAAATATAGTTGTGATGCGGAAAAAATAACCTGAATGATGAAGATCTAACTAGCAATAAACGAAGCCAGCATAGAACACTTGTAAGGATGAATACGGAGGAACTTCACACCAGGCAAAACACTGTTTTGCTTTTCTTATGAAAGCCTGGTGATTATGGTATGTTTAGCGGGACCTTGTATCACAACAGATGGCATGATGATATTTTTTTACCAGAGACGGTTAAGAATTTCACAGTAGCTCACATTGCGCGATTGTAAACCTCTGACCGATCAATTCGCGTTATGATATATACTGCCCCATTTGTAACAATTTATGTCTGGTCCGATAGACCTTCCCGATAGGAGGTCCTCGATGGCAAGGAAATCTGTACGAGGCTCAATGTAGCGATTTTAGTCCATTATACTAAATATGATGGCAAACCAATCACTCCAATCGTTTCTATCTCGAGAAGAAAGTCACCGGATTTAGCAAATACAAAAAGGCAGATGCTTTCAGTCGTTCGTTGGGGAACATTTTGCTGCTTTCCGTCGTTCATCATTACAGTTGTCAACTCAGACCATCCATCTTGATGAAATTTACATACCATCACGAGGACAAGGCACAATGAAGCATACGATCTCACTTATCTTTCTCCCGTCATACTAAAGGAATAGGTTTATGCACTTATTTATCTATCATTTGGTTCCCTCGGTTCATGTTTTAGAAAAATATTAATTTTTTTGAGTCTGGTCCGCATACCGCCACTTTGGGCAAAAATTCAAAGCAGCGACAGAGTGACCATTTTTAGCTTTTTACATCTTAGAATTTCAAAGGATATGGTGAACGAAACTGTTCAATGACGGACGATTTGCTCATAATCATCCTTGTTCTTTAATGCTGTTAACATCGGAATCCATTTAGACGCTTCGACACTTGGCTCAAGAAAATAAATATTTAAAAAACTACTTTAAGCTAGTAATAATACGTCGAAAGTTTCGCGCGGATAAAACTACCTCAAATTTCTTCTGAGAGAGATGTTAACGAAAGCCTTGTAAATGGTGGCAATTGCTTTACTAAAGTGAAGTCATTTTACAGCGAATATATAAACCCCTTCCCTAGTTAATCTGAGTAACATTCACGGGAAGATTCCATGTTGCTTCCTAACTTACATTAGAAATTTTCAGACAGCAAGGTCCCTTATCCGGTGAATTTGTCTTTACTAGCTAAAACCTGAGTCTTTGGGAATGAAAACCCAATCAATTTAACCCTACTGCACTTTTGAACCAAACTATCCTTCCCAAAATTTAGGGACGCTACTTTTAGCAGGCAAACATTTTAATGCCAGCAATCACACAATTCGGTCATCTTTCGTTATGAATCAACTCGTCCCAAATTATGCATCAAATTAACCAGACTACGTATCTAAGGTTTGTTGGTTATAATTTCGTTCTCAGGCGAAAATTGTTTTCACGATCGTATATTCTTTTGGATCAATCATGTCTCCATTGTGGAGATCCCAGTTGAGTCTGTGCTGCGTGCGTTTAATAGCCTTGCACTTAATATTGTTCCACGAAATCCCAAATGTTTTAATTTGATTTTCTTATAATGGGCTGCTAAAAACTCACCTGGGTATATCAAGCCTTCCACGACTTTGTCCGACCCAGTCACCAAACACTTAATTTTGCATCAGAAACAGGTGGTTCAAACGCCTCAACAAGGACCCTATGAAGCCATCCACACCGATGTATTGAAATTTGTATCCTGTCTCATATTTAAAGCGTATTTCCGTTAGAATTCACTTAAATCCCTCGAGTTGTTAGCGTTCATCATCATCATCATTATCAGCTGTAATAAAGCGTATTTAGAATTCACTTAAATCCCTCGAGTTGTTAGCGTTCATCATCATCATCATTATCAGCTGTAATAACCGCGTACTCGTCGCGTCGTA